CGGAGGTGATCAACAACCTGCTCATTCGATGGAAGGACATCAAAATGCAACTGCACAAAGGCCATTCTAATAGCAAAGCAGAGAGTCAGTAGGCAATTCAAGTGGAGCAGCATAAAGTTGACAGTCTTTTAACTCAACAACTCATGGACTTAGAATGCATTTCTTTCGACGTTTCCACTATGGACGTAGACTAATTGTCCCGTCAACACTCACATCAAGCATTGCTGCATGTTTGTCTATATGAAAGTCAAAGGCGGCGCACAGCTCCTCCATTTCCAAGCGGAAATTGGTGTGCCCAAACGTGGTACACCTATCTTCGAGTGATTCATCATCCGATTCACACTTTTTAAATTCATTTCTGTGCAGTGCGTTTCGATATCGCATACCACCTCGCCAATGAAAGCTATGCATCAAATTTGATAGGAAGCGTCTGCAGCCTTTGAATCTCAATACAAGGGAAGTTTGAAGAGGAAAATGGTAGAGTGTATTGCAGGGAATTTGGTACCACAAATGACCGCCAGCTCTGTTTCACCGCATTTGCTAACGGTCTGTTGTAGTCGCGGAAAGGGTTGAGAATTTCACTGTGAACTGTCACGCAGTCGCAGTTTGGAATTCTGTACCTCCGTTTCAGTTGTTGGCAAAAGATCATTTTGCAAGTAGAAATGTCAATTAATCCAAAAGCTATTCTCCAGGCCCAAAGGAGGCAAACGCATGCGCGGTACGTTGGGCCGTTAAGGCCCAACCAAATGCACGGCAGCGATGGCAATCGACGGTCGACTGCCCAATTACCAAACCTCAGGCACAAGGAAGGGAAGGATACGTGGTACCACAGCCCAAGACCCACCGGTCTTCAAGTGGCAGCTGGAATAGCTACTAAAGAGGCCTCAACATTCACTTTTAACCCCACCAAGTGCCACATGCCGCATATTTGTTACGCCACCCGTGTGATAAAAGTGGAGAAGCCTTGCAAGTGGAGCCTTGTCTCCTGCATGCCTGCTCCATTGGCAGACAGAAATGAAATCCGCTAAATACTTCCCATAATTTATGATTTAAGCACTTGCAAACACCAATCTCTTCTCAGCAAGAACGCGGTTTACAACAGAAGTAAAAAAACACTTGATTGTGTGGCACACCCTTTACTATATTTTTAATAAGTAGCATGAAACTGGCGCTTAGTGCTCATGGAAAGGGAACTGGTTTCAAGCCGTTTTTTTGGAGTAAAATGCGGGTGAAAATCCACCTGGATGACGCTGTTTCACTGCCCGCAACTTTACTATTGTGGCTCATTTACCTAATAGAAAAGTAACAAAGTATGCCCACATCACTCCGTTCAGTTACATGCTTCAGCTACAACCTGAATGAATAGCCACTAGAAGGTGGATATTGTTGTACCAGCATCCGAGTTGTTAAGTTGCAGGTAGCCCTCAGTAATCAAGTCCGCTTGTATCTGAGGTCGTAAAGTAATTATGAGTCAGTTTGAATACCTACATCTGAAACTCCTCATTCCAGGAAGGATTCAGCGTGGAGCGAATAATCTTCGTCTTAAACTTGACTTTCTGATTGTCATCCGCAGGATTGAGTTTGATCTTCACATAGGGATCAGCCAGACCGTTTGGATCCATGGGGGTCAAGTTTTTGGCACCCAAAACTATCGTAAAAGAGAAAAAAAGGTGCATATATTTAACAGTAACCTACGCCATAGTTTTTGTGGCCACCGGAAGTCCCCTAGAAGAAGTAAAAACTTAAGCCTTCATTTAACGTATAGCTAATAAAAATAGCACACTTTATTTGGGATTTTTCTCGAGGTATTTTAAAATGCGCTCCTAAACATTCCCTGGAGGAGTCTATAAACGCAATTCCGCGTTGACTACAAAGCCAACAAGATAGAGACAAGCACTGGCCATGAGTAGACAGAGAGATGCCTCCGATTTCACCCTCAGCCAAATCAAACAGCAACCAACTCCATTAACTTTAGGTCTTTGTTTTCATCTAGAGTTGACAGAGTTCTGCTTTAAACACACGATATAAGGACGAAAAGGCCTCGAGAGGAGCCTATTCCACCGATTTACCGTCAACATTTGCCGCTTTTGAGAAAACCACCACAGTGGAAATGTGCGGGTTAACACCCAGTTGCTATTCTCTAGGAGCAAGTCGTCTTTAGAAGATAAAAGATTTGCTTTTGGGACGAAGCACAAATGATACATTCCAAAAATATTAAAGCGTAGCCTTGGCATGTTCAAAGCCACCGGTCTAGACGTGCAACGTCACGATTCACGCACTCGAACCCGACGTCACACAGGCGCTATGCCCCCTTCATCACTCCCCCACCATAAATACCTAGAAAGTGCCCTTTTAATCAGTTTAAATTTTTCATTATTTTCCACTTTTAACGCCATAATGCTACACTTTAAAGAGAGTGGACAAGCGAATACGTTTCCCACGCCCACAGAATGCATAATTAGTACGTACCTCGGTCTGACTATTCACCCACCTCCACACTGCCCCAGTGATGATAGCTAACCCCCACTAAAATAAACAAACGCCAAAACATACACTGGTTTCGGTGAAAGCCGCTGCCTTCACTGCATCTGATGGTGTGCCATGCTGAAGTGGAGAGAGCTGGAATGCCAAACACTTGTGCAATTGACTAATCCAGTTGGTAGAAATTCACAAAATACAAGTTTATCATTGTCATCCGCTGTCTTTGCGAAATGAGGCGCTTGAAAAACTCGGAACAGACTAAGGTAGTGGTGAGAGATCAATTCCAGCCTGGACTATGGTGTCTCAGAGGTGCGGGCAGTAAAAGCACACGTGGGAGTGGGTGGGAGGTTCCAACCTTCTTCCAATACCCACCCGCAGAAGAATTCTTTTCCAAAATTTAACCTTCCGATTTCATCCTCTTCATTTGGTGAAGAGTCATTTATACAACTTTCTCAAGCATAAAAATGGTGCAATTAGGCTCTAAAGAAGGGAAAAGATTTTCTCCCACAAAAGAAAAACTTGGGGCGAGTTTGAGGTAACACTCTTATTACACTGTCACGTTGATCTCCTTCCCTTATGAAGCCTGGATAAACAATGGGGTCGAGACGCGGTGAATTGGGGAAAAACAAAATGCAGGCGTAAGACGTTGCCTGCACTGCCAACCTTCAAAACGAAGTCTCATCACAAGTACATCAAAACTGTTTGTACCTCAATGCCGAGGTAAACCTAGTTTCAAGTGTTTGGCAGGCTGTGCCTTTGAAGAAGAATCCAAATTATCTACATGACAACAACGACGTCCCGAGTTATTGTTCGATTTCTCTTGTCACATTGGATAAGTGGATGGTACTCATAAAATAAATCGACGAGATTAAATCGCAGCAATAAAGTCTCGAGTGATTCAGCCATGTAGCAAACAAAGGAACAGACACACTAAGTTGGTAAATTCGAGTCAGTACCACACCACTTCAACAAAGGTGTGCTCCTCTTCCCAAGCCCATGCATTGATTCTCCCTATTTTTAAACAAAAAGCCGTTCTGGACCGAATATCCTAGCTCCCAAAAGCATAATCGGCTCCTTTTTAGTAGACCGATGGGAATGGGAATGCAAATGAACAGTTGCCTTCTAGGCTTGACTTCCAACTGCATAAAAGCATCGAGGCATTTGCGAGGTGACTTCCGACACTATGCTTGTATGACACATCGGTTTTTGATGACAAACAGCCCCCTAAAGGCGTCGTTACCTCGAGACCAGGTAATTTAAGGTGAATCAAATCAGTTTAAGACGACTAACTAGTAAAAATCCCATAAAGTGACCCACTTAAAATAGCCCAACTTAAAATGTAAATTTTAAGCTAGTGAATGGAGGAGGGATGTAAGTCGTCTGTGAATCGGATAATGTGACGAAAATACATGGAAAATAGGATTATCCCATACTAATAAGTGCCAATGAACACATTCCGGATTACTGCTATTCAAGAAGGCACTGACTGAGGATAGAAAAAAATAAAAGGATTCTCTTTCCGTGCACCTCTCATGAGGAAAGCAGTCATTGTAGAAATAAGCAAAGGATGCATAAATTCATTTTTTAAAGAGGATGCGGAGGAAGGGAGGATAAAGAGCTCAATTAAAATTTATACTTACTTCTAACTTCAAGATGGTCACCTTTGTGATGCGCTTGCAGATGGATTCTGCCGCGGCGTTCAGTATGGTCAACACCACAAAGACCTGGGACCATTGCCTTGCACTTGATGTGGACATTCATATCACATTCTAAAAGATAATAATAAAAAATGCCCACGTACATCAAAAGTTACAGTTAATAACTCAGGACTAACTACTAAAGTCTGCTTTGTGAGCAGATATCTGTTTAAAATAAAACTAATTAAGACTGGTTACAGTTACTTGCATATTCTACATCAATAAGATAAGTGGAATAGAGCATCGCGGAAAAGTTGCAAGCGAAATTTCCACAATACAATTGAGTTTTGTAAATTTGCAAATTAATAAGCGCTAGTCAACAACGAATCTTTAATAAACTACACAGCAGTTAGAGAATAAAGGCGAAAAAGAAGTCGTACCCCAGAATTATAATAGAATAAAAGCTTGGAAATGCAGATTTGAACACGTGATGCAGAACTTCGTGTCACTGAAAATCCAAAATATTTAATGAAACTTACTTTCACATTTCATGCCCTGGTGAACAAGGCCATGCAAAAGCGATCCGCAGTGGTCACATACGGTTGGGCTTCCAAAAGTGTGCAGTTGGAATTTGTGATAATTTTGAAACTACAAATAAGTTAGTACGAAATTAAGGCGATTACGTCAGAATCTGGACCTTTATCCAAACCAGGACAGCTAAAGGTAACAAATTCAGTACATCGCTTGTGTGTCGTGAAAAGGCAAACGTTGCATTGGTACCCCTGTTTCCCCAAAACACCCCTACAATATTCAATAAACATGCGCAGGTAAAAATTACCAAATGAAGTCTTTGCAGTGTCCACACCAAGTCGGTTGCTTGAAATAACGAGGAATAAAAGAATGGTCTTTAACAATCACAACGTTTTTTTGCCTGAAAGCTCCGCGGCGTGCAAAAACTTTATCGGGCATCTCCGGACTTACAAGTTAGCGCCGAATGCGACCTATCAACCTTGCTAAGGCAAAACAAATTTAAGGACGCCAAAGTCATGCATAATTACTCAACTGCACATATAAGACAAATGAAAATTAATAGAACCAGTAAGACTTTCCTCAATACCGAAAAATTATATATTGTTTTACTGAAGGCATTTTGTCCTAATTAAAGACTTAACTTTTTAAAGATCGATTGTCATCAACTAGCTTTGCTCATCCGATCCTGGCGCAATTCGTGCGAACAATCCATCAACTTTTCGTAGTCCAAGTTTTATAACTAAAGCGTTGCGAACAGTAAAATATTAACACCCTCAAAAATTGTAAAAAATTTGCGCAGTTCCGGAACCGACTAGTACATTTTCCCACATGTTTTAGCACATTATTTTAGTACCCCACCCAGGACCGCGGTAAGGTGAAGTCACTCGCTTAACGCCAAGGGTCTTCATGTTGTGAATGGATCTTCCTATTGTTAACAAGGTATTCAGTGTTATCCTCGCAAATCAAGATAGGAATATATCATTCTCCCAGAGGCCTCCATAGGTGTGCATGTGGTAAAGCTTGAGTTCTCAAACCTCATATTTGTGATTGTGTCGACCAACGGGAAGCTGGGAGATATGGTACAGAGTACGCTACGAAATGCCATGCTTTAGGTTCTTTTCGAACGTCAAATCACAAGCGTCCCTGGAGTGATTTTGTCGAGGGAGGTTAGCACCTATGACAGTCGCATGCTTATTGGATGTGATAGAGCAAGTTCCCTTAGCATTTTGTCCCTGCAATACTTGATATCTTTCATCTCATCTTTCTGATTATCTATTGATTTACTCCGATTGATGTCTTTTTATCATGGCCACTCCAAAAAGTAAGATTCGATCCCGTTATTCTGGTTAATTGTGACTTTTATGCGATAACTCCAACCCAAAATAAGCTTTTATCTTATTGGAACTGCACATAACATCAACTGCATTGCAGGATGAAACACACCTCTTGGCCAAAAAAATTGCCACTGAACTTAAAACTGACAAAAAGGTTATCGTCAGCTCTACACTAGGTCGGCCAATCACATACTCAGACGCTAGAGAACTATGTAAGGCGCTGATTCCCACCTAATGTATAAGAATTAACACTTTGACTGATGTTGTGCTTCATGCAATTACTTTTGCTACCGACCCACTGATTCCAACAGTCTGGGCTTCTGGTTTGATGTTTCATTCTTCTTACAGTTATTAAAATCCTGAATAGTAGACTATGCCTTGCCTTCAATTCATTTCATAATCGTCCCATTGTCCTCGGCATCTTCTCGATTCTCTAAAGCGTTATTTTTCATGTCATTGCCTGTGGATGGGTCGTTAACCTAGAATATGAGCTCAGTTCAAAAAGACCGTACCTTCACATCATCCTCGAGAGTTTCCTCACTGAGCTCATTGTGTTTAACTTGATTAGAATAACTCTCTTCATCACCGAGTTCCTCCTCTTCGCTCTTACCCTCACTGGTCTCGTGATCGATCTAACATTAAGTACAAGACAACATTAGGATCGGAACCAAAACTTAGTTTCCAATACCTTGTGAAACTTAACACATTCAGAGCCAGGTGTACCACGAAAATAGGTTTCAAAGAACACTTACATCTCCCATAGCCGCTCTATCCAGCCACTCGAGGGTTGTATACCAGTAGTTCACTACTGCCTCGTAATCATTCTAAAGCGTCCATTGAAATTTTCCTTTGATCAGAAAGCACCACCCACTCACCGAAAAATGGTGTATCCGCACTTCGAGGTTCTTCGCTTCTGGTTTTTCTACTGCGCAAGTAAAATCTGACGGTAAGGTATAAGTTTTGGACTCCGTTGACACCACACCGATGATATCGGCATTTCTTTCGACACAGGAACTCCATTTGTAGCTGCTGGTGGCCAGACGTTTCTGGTGTTTTCGATTAATCTGATACTGAAGTGAGTTGGAGAAAGATGGGAGGTGAACTTACTTCATGTTGCGGTCGGAGAACTACGTCAGAGGCATTTCCATCTTCGTCAAACACAATGCGATGAAATGGCTGGTGGATAGCCACAAATGGCTCACTCTTCTTTACGCTGCACTCATCCTAGAGGATAGTTGATAGTACCTTAAGGAAGCGTACCTCAAAGCCAGCCTTGAAATTTTTCAACTTTCGTCGACGTCGTTTGCGTTTGGAGGTCGGAAATGTTGTGTTGAAGTCGCAGTCCTCTTCGAAGTGAAGTCCAGCATCAGTGTGAGGAGGAGTAACAGTGTTCAAGGCTACTTGTTGCGGTAGATCATCTTCAAGTGCATCTCCAACCTCACTCATCTAAAAATTGATCGAATCAGACAGTGAGGCCTTTCGAGTGCTTCAAATGATCACAGACCACTTTGTTAGCTCCAGATCACTTGTTTCGTCTAACAGACAACTGCCATCCCCATCAAAGTTCAACGGCAACTCAACTAGTAGAGATTTCGAGCAGCAATCAGGACCAGTACTCTATTCACTTCTGTGACCTCGATTCTGGCACCGCTTCCTGTGGCCTCCCGTAGGCGTCATGCCGTCTCCAAACCGGACGAGCCTTGATCCAGCCAATGAATTACGCTACCCTCGACCACATTTAGGAGGAAACCATGCCACTTTAAGTTCACATTAGCCTGCTGCCGACGTACTAGTGGAACAACTCCAACCTCTTCTGTACCTCCTACGCTTCCAAATAGTCTGCTTTAGAGTCAAGTACACCGAGTCCGACATTGCAGTTGGATGTTAAAACTCATTCTCTGAAGGATCCGTGCTTTCAAACTAAAAGGTTTGCGAGATTTCGTCCTCCTCATCCACCCTTTCATAACTTTTCTGCTCGATAGCTGCGCGATTACACCCCTGCCTAAATAGTAGACAATTAGCGCCTCTGGTGAAAAACACCTCAAGCAAAGCAATACCAGAAGAGGGAGAGGGGGCTATCTATATAATATGATATACAAATATTGCAATAGTGGGGTGATTAATACGGTGAGCGCTGGTATGTTCGACGTTTGGGTGCGAATTTGGGCTGGGGATAGATGACCCTGGTCGACTGGGCATCACCGCCACCTTCTTGGGGTGACGTGGGGGACAGGGAACGTGAGGAAGAGGGCGAGAGGGAGGAATGAGAGAAGCCGGGTGTCCTTGAGAGTCCTGACACTGAATCATCATCACCTTCATTCATCCTATCTCGGTTCTCGGCATTCGGGTGAGTTAACACTACTGCCTGGTTCCCCTGGATCCTTGCAACTTGCAACTCGATTACGTCAAGCCGCGATTCAATGAGGCTTATCATCTCCTCCAGTGGAACTAGAATATCCGATTCCAATCGGTCGAGATCGTTCGACAACTTTTGTGACTTGGCCTCGTCTAGAGATATGAGAATAAGTTTTTATAGCGCAGTTTGGGGTTCAGAATGTAGTCGCATCAGTGTGCCTGGAAAACCAAAACTGAACTCAAGCACATGGGGCAGTTATGATTTTGTATCCAGGCATGAAGCAAAAATCAGCGCAATGTGCGGCACCCAACCTCGAATAAGTCTGAAAATTCGCATTGCGTTATGAGGCGGTCGCATAAATGCAGTGTGACAGTGTCGAAAAGCAATAGGATAAGCAATGAAGGGTGTTTAAGACAGGGAGATCGAAACAGACCACAAGAGGGTGTGGTGAGTGCAGTGGACAGGCCAAATTCGGCGCGACCAGAGCTCTCGGCGAAGCCGATCAGACTGGCTGCAGCCTCGATATCACTGACACTTGTGCTCGCGCTGCGAAGACTCTTCACCGGTGTCGTGAAGAAAGGTGATGCGGCGTCAATCGACAGAGACCGCTGCAGATCTGCCTCACTGAAACGAAACCGAGAGTGAACTCGTTTTGTCTACCCATGGACGAGGGATCGTGGTTTCTATCTTAGAATTGGCTCTTATATGGACTGTAAATAATACCATAGAGATTAGAGGTTGACAGTGGACCTTTGTCCCCAAAGTTAAACCTCACCAACCTATGCAGGAACTATTAATTATTGATCAATTATTTTTACTTATTTCCTCATGACACCCGGTAGAAAGCCAATCACTGCATGACACTAAAATGGTCGAAAATGTTCCAAGTGTATGAATAGAAACACTTCTTTTAGTTCCACGCATATGAAGAATCTCAGAGTAACCATCATCTAACAGTATGCCCATCCTACTCGGGTCAGTTTATTTCAAAATAAGTGTGTCCAACATATTAAACTCCAAATCATGTCAATGACTAGCAGCGTAATACACGCCGGACAACGCACATTGTGGTAGCCGTGGGTGGAGGAAGGGGTTTGCCGTTGCTCCCTCCGCTTCCGCCTTGGTACAGCACCTGCTCCAGACTCGCCAGCAGAGTCTTAGTCGGCGTGTCAAAAATGGCACCTGATTGTGAAAGTGGAGTTGGCGCCACAGTCTGGCCTGGTGAGGTTGACTGGACTTGCATTGGCGGTTGACACTGCTGTGTCGAAGCCGGAACGTTGAGTAGGTCATCAGAGATGGCAGTCATCAGATCAGGCAGATCTTCTGGTGAGCTGTTTGCAAGGTTGGCCAGGATTCGTGTGATGTCTGTGGACTCCAGTGCTGCATAAAATAGTGCAGAAGTCACAAAAATCGTTTTCTGACCAAATTTTCATCAGACTAAAGTGAAACCTAACAAACGATACAATGAGAGATGGAGTCGCAACGAGTACAATGGGAATTAAGTGAAACATCGCGGTGAAGACTCAAAGCAGCGAAGATTGGGATCTGGATCGACTATCGTATCTTAGTCTTTTGTGACATTTTTCACGGCACATCATTATTATCGCTAAGAATAACAGGGCCAAAATTGAGTGGATCAAAATCAAACATGGAATAAACAAGAAGGTTTGGTATTAAAGTCCGGAGATGTGGTGCCTCATATCTCAGCATACTTGCGTATGAGCCCGAAGGTTAATCATGTGACATGAAAGGAAATAAGGAAAAACAAGCAAGACAAATACCCCTCCTACACCGTTTAATTCACGCAAATTAGTGTACACTATTAATGACTGAGAGGAAATCAAGATCGAATTGAGAGGACTACGGCTGTTTTTCCCCCACTTCATGGTCTCCATATATGATGAACGTGGGCAATTATTCCACGTACATTTTTTTCAACAAATAACCCAAAAAAAACGCACTTCGCTAAGGCATATGAATAGTGGAAAATGATGTGTTTATCAACTAGATCTCACCACTTAAATGTTCCTCGCCGGCGACTGCTTGAGGTCCAGAAATAAAGGTAAAATCCATAGCCAAGTCAGCAGTCGTAGAGTCTGCAGAAGTCTCTTTTGGTGCGTTTGAAGTAGTCGCGGTGGACTGTGCATCACGATTGCCGCTACCACAGCCTCCAGACAGCCCTCTAATTCGGCAGAGCGTTCGACGACCAGTCACGATCAATGTATTGAGGTGACGCAGCCATGTAACCAGACTCATGGTCTCTTGCACCACTTGGGCCAAGCTAGGATTATCACCTGGCTGCGACATGGTCACTACACTAGTTTCTGCCGCCTCAGCTGTCCAATCAGTGAGACCGGAGCGAGAGGGCGCCCGTTGACAGAACGTGCAAATCCACGACTACAGTAAGAACAACGGTAAAACTTAAAAAAAGCTAATTACCTGACTTGGCCGCTCTTAAAAGCAAATAGACTACGCTACTCACCTTGGCTGTGTCCTGGGAGGTACACACCCTATGAGACCACACCCGACAAACAATGCACTGGATGAGATTTTGCACGAGTTCCGTCGTGGAACCGCTAAATTTGCACGTAGGACAGAAAACATATCGTTCTGGCTGGGCAGTGGCAGGCGCCGATGAGCTAGAAAGGCGTGAGTCAGGTAGTTAAAATACCTCTCCACCTCTGGTTCTACTTTCTTCTTCTTCGGTGCAGGTGCAGATTCTGCAGCTGATGGCGGTGAAGTGCTCTTTGTACTGTGATAATTCTGAAGGTGGGCTGTTAACAGACATTGTCTACGCATTTTCCGAGGACAATGAGGACACTGGAATGTAGTGGGAGGTATTTTCTGCGACGGAACGGCTAAGTCAACTACCTCAGTTGGTTTAGGAGGTACCTTTCGGACCTAGACAGGGAATATAAATCCCTTTTAAAGGCATCTTACCGTAGCACTTGACCGTTTGGTCACACCAGACGGCTCTGATTTGATGACTCCAGACCTATTTGGAAGTGGAACGCCTGCATCCGCCAAATTTGGTGGTTCTTCGACCTTTGACCCTTCTAACTCTCCTGAAACAGCTCGTTTCTTCAGCTCCCGCCTCTTTCGACAAGCTTCATGAAATTGGGCAATACTGCGATCATAGAGCATATCACCTTTGGCAACAGGTGCATCGTTTGAACTATCATTAGCGTCAACAACGGATTTCCTTTCATGCTCTTCACTAATCTCCTTCTTCATCAATTCTGCTTGCTTGTGCTGGCGAATAAACCTCAATACATAGTTGATTTCGCTTTGTTCGGCACGACGGATAGATGATGCTGGAGTCCATTCAACGATACCATCCCAACTAAACTTAATCCGATATTCCAGGTGGTCGCGTGACCTTTGGCGATAGGCCAAAACCTCTGCAAGGTATTCATAATTATTTCTCCATCGTGCCATCACATAAGAACCAATTTCATAAGCCGGCTTTGATGGTGGTTGTTGTTGAGCCTCAGCATCGTGAGGAATCCCACGTTTGCATTTTGTACCACTCTGCATTAAAAGAGTTTATTGAGAGTACGACACCTATGACCTAAAGGAAATAAAAACGCAAAACTAGCGATGTACTAAAATAGAGTTTCGTATTCCTTCCTGCAAAACTACCAGTCCAGCCAATTCTACATATTTTGATAGTGACCTGAGATTACAGTTATACAATACAAAAGAAAACATTTAGGGAGGCACACAGCCCACACATCATAAATGTGTTCGCAAAACATGACGTCTGAACAACTATCCATGACTCCTCTAAAACGTAACTCACAAGAACATAAACAAGTTTGGTAAACTAAAATAAGGCGTTAAGGTTTAGACTCCATCAAAAGAAGATAACACTTAGTGAAAGACAAAACAAAGCGCATACCACAGAAACGGAACGCAACAAAATTTCAAAGTCAGTGCTGACATGTTTACAAAATTGAAACTCCTTAGAATTCTAGAAACTAATGATTTAGCTGCTCAAGAAAATTTATTACCATTAAAAAAGCTTAAACACAATATTGCAATACAGATGCTTTTAATTTTAGGCAAGATCTTGCTGTTGCATTTAACGTTGTAAAGATTGCAAACACAAAACAGTATTGAGGCCTTTTATACATAGGTATCTTCACACTTTATCAATATCCTCAAATTCAATTTATCTATTATTTAAAGAGTCAAATTGACGTAATGCTTGCGCAGAAATTGACTCCTGCTCTCAGAATATTTAGCCGCAAAAATATTTTAAATGCCAATATTGACGGCATACCTAGTGTCCCAAAACTTTACACTAGTTAAAAAGGCACTTATTTTGACATTAAGCATGTATTTTAAAGAATAATATAGAGTTGTTCCTTGGCTTGATCTGGGGTCCAGCTAACACTGAAAGTACAAAACAAATACCTTAGTAACTGCCAGGCATACAGGTGGCTCCCTAATTGAAGCATCACATTGTTTCCCTCCTTTATACGAGTGACAATCTCGACGCCCTTATTTGTATGCCTCCCAAAACAGCCAGTGCTTACGAGCCAGCCGCGTAAATCATCAGCTATTACGCGACTAAAAAATTGCACTCATACTCCTTAGCAGTTCCAACTGGATCTGGGGCTATATTTGGTCTTAAGAGAAGAATTATGGGGGAATTTTGCCATTAGTTGTTGTTACGCCTGTCCACAATAGATATTTTGCAAGAAGGACAGCACCAAACACAGGCCTATTTGGAAGGATATTAAGCCTATTGTGATTTTCTGACAGTCACATACGAATGTGGATATAATACTCCTAGTGTCTGCGTCAGCAAGCGCAGCTAAATACATGTATTCCGAAGACGACAGGGCATATGTGTTTAGGCATGGCCCGAAGGCTAGCCTCCGTGTGCAAGGGCCAGACAAATCCTAAAGCCGCCACCAAACGTCAGGTAGTCACATAAACAATGCATTACAATACTTTGCTTATGTATATACCTCCCATGTATCACAAACAGTGAACACCATAGTGGAAGCCGTAAAAATTGTCGGGTTAGGGTCTTGCAGCCTTTAGTGTAGCGTCCAGAGACTTTCCACCACGTTTAAGAGGGCATTAACTTGAGCTGAGCACGTGTATTCTAGGAGGAAAATAAGAAACCGAACCTTGTCTTGCCCCGTAGGTCTATGTACGCATAAATGAGCAGAACAAATGCCAAATATAACCTCCAGTCATACGGGTGGTCACATAACTGAAGCATTGCAAAGACTGAAACGTTTTGAGCGCTTTGAACACATTAAAGCTTATCTCCCTTTGTCATGACCCAAAGATTAGTCCAAGCAGCAAAAGTGACCTCCACTCATGCAGACAGTCGAGCAAGAAAGCCTACCTTTCTTTTCAGGTGCATTCACGGCGCTGCTCTTAGTGGTCGTCGCGCGTCAGCCATTACAAAGTAGTCGGTGATGCATAAAGAAAACTGCAAACCAATTATGCCAATCGTCAGGTTCTATGTCTAATATAGTGTATTTCACTATTAGCGATCATTTCAGGAGCTTCAAGAGAATATCGATGGTTATGTTAAATTTGAAAACAGTGTAGACAGAGATTAAAGTACTGTCGGATCTTTGACATCCCTATGCGTATATACTTAAGGAAGATTCGAATCCCACAGAAGCCACCTTCAAACTTCCACTTAGCATACATTTGCTAACTGAGAGCCTTCAATATTTACGAAACTCGAGGGAAAATGAAGGTCATTTGCTTCAAGATTCCTACTCAAACAAGGGATAACCTTGATTGTCTCAAATCTTATCAGTCCACCTATTTAGGCAAAAAGAAGGCTCAGTAGGAGAGAGTGAATGACTAGCTCGCAAAAATCTTGTAGGATCTGCAGCTTTTGCCGTTACCTGAATTAGAAGTACCGCCTACCATGCTCCTGTGTCTTAGCCTGCATGAATTGGTTTCTGCATTGATGCTAACGATGCCTACGACCCAGCTTTAATTTAGCTAATTGGCAACACTTTTTGCTCGCTCAACTCTTGGCTTCGGAGGGCTCCAATCCCATCCGCATGTGGCAGTAGGTATTTGGTTCAAGCATCATGTCTTCCTCCATCTTCAATGAAGTCTCATAAAGCTACACATTATTAGGCAGAGGGCTAAAAACTTTGGTTAGAAATTTACTACTTTTAGCTTTATCAAAATCCAAATAAATGCAATAGTAAAAATCTATGTACACAAAACTCCCAACTTAAACTACATTGTCAAAAGTAACGAAGTCAATCAAATCAAGTATTGTCATCGTTTTCCGTGACGCGAAGATTTTGATGCAAATTTCGATTTGTCATGGTGCTCTGGAACCACTGAGCGGTGATCATTTAAATCCCAAAGATCGTTAAGATCCCAGTCTTCAATAGTTGTCATCGCATCAATGCTCCCTTTCTTGCTTGTGGCCTCCGCAAAAGTGTCTTCCTTGTGTGTTCTATCCTCCTCAACTCGGCTCTTCTTTGAGGGCTTCGCAGGCTGAGCGCCCATGTTAGAACAACCCAACCGGGCTTCCAACAGGTAATCATGTGAGCCCTTCCACCATCTGATCAATATTTTGAACCCGTTGGGGCTCCACTTTATTTACACCGCTTAAATTGGCTCTGCTGTCCGCACTAGGCCATCTGTTATAGATGCAGTTGGTGTGGCTTAGAAGAATTGGACCTTTAAGTCTTGCCGACTCTCACAACGTAGTCGATTTACGAAATCCACGTTTTGGGTGCATAAAATTTGTTAAAGGAAGAAAGTTCGATCCAGCTTTAAGATTTAAACACAGGAGATTTAATTGAGTAACTCTAAGTTTTTCGCTAGGGAACGTATTAAGTAGTATGTGGATGGTATCATTACCCTGAACAAAATCTTTAGTCCTTATCAAAACAGTTTTCTACTCCCGTACATTACCGGGATATGCATAGCCATTCTGATAGGTCTTAGTGCTTCGAAGTGTTCTTTTGTGCAAAATGGCTGGATATTCGAGCCTTCATGCGATCTACCTCTTGTGTTACTGACTCCATGGTCTTAGTAGCTTGGGCATCCTAAAGGTAAGGTCTGCGTTTCACCATTTTAAAAGCATGGTTCCTTTAATCAGCTTCCAATGGTAACATGAATTATGAGGAAACCTCTCAATTCCTCTAAGCGTCAGGGTAGCTTTAATACTTTGTTTATGTGAACACCCGACATTTAGCAGTGACTTTAAGATTTGTCTGCCTCTTGTACCCGTGAACTAGCCTTTGAAACATGCTAAGACCTAGTTGCTTTATTCCCCTTAAAATTCACACATCCAGCTTCATTTACTACTCCTCCTACCCGGTGGGAATTCTCGAGACACTATAATCGCATCTTTTCAACACACATGATCACATACCTGATCACTGTTTAAAGGCCTTAAAACCGCACTGGGTGCTAAATAGAATCCATGACCTTGATGGAAACAGTTGATTAGGCAAACACCAACCCAAATGACGGAAGCTGGGCACGACAGAATGTCTTTATAACACATACGAGGAGTGAATTGTAGCATCCGAGACCTCCTGGCCGGTGCGAGAAGTCAGTAAGTGCAGCTGGATACATGTATTCCGAAGACGACAGGACAAATGGGCCTGAGCATGGCCCGAAGGCCAGCCAATGTGTACAAGGGTCAGACAAATCCTAAAGTGACCGCCAAACGCCACGTGGTCAAATAAACAAGTATTATATGGATCTTGACCGAATAGCTGGATCTAAGGAATCAGATATATTCCTCAAAAACGAGCATGGCTAAGGCGCATTGGTCCACTTTCAATGCCCTATCTAGCCTGTTGCATTCTTCATTTCACATAAAGCATTCTGACTTAGTCATGCCCTTAAGAATCAATCTAATTTAAGCGAAGGGATGGCAAAGAAAATCTAGCTGCAGGCTTTAAGCTCATTTGATTGTCTGCGAGTGGCGGTTACTTTGGTGACTGCAGGGTGGACTAGCCCCACGTCTTCCCCTCCATCTAGTGCACGCAAGAAATTTGAAAATCTAATAGTTATCTGACTTCTCAAAAGGTTGAAAGATTGCTTAGGTGACCATAGTGTCGGCGTTTGTAATTTTTTGCCAACTGATTAGGATAAAGTAAAGGACTCACAACCATAGATTGCCGTCTGTCAAAATTAAAAAGGCAGCTTTTAGTATTTATAATGTTGCTAATTTTCATTCTACTTCGGTTTATCTCGACGTCGTTGTTTAACTAGTTTCACTGTTCAATTCTGCTTCTTGTGTTTTCTTGTTTTGGACGTTGGTTTACGCCGAATATGACGGATAAGGAGCGGTTGTTTTCGGAATTTTACTCCGAAGTAAAAATAATAGAAAAGAGGGACTCGACTCTGACACCAAAACAGCAAATCGACAGACTGAATAGACCGGGATGCACGTACTTCAACCTTAATCCATTTGACGTGGGTCTCCCCCAAAATTTGGTTTCATTTGCTAGGTGTTACAAGTTGATCCAGAGGCGAAGATGTCAGACATCAAATCAAGGTATCGTCAGGTACTTCTCATCTGCTCTTCTGTCATTGATAGATGTCTCTTCTTGTCCATCCAGATAAAAATCAGGATGACGCTGAGAGAGCCCAAAAAGCCTTTGATGGTAAGCAATTTTCTTTGTGTAACTAGTATTTTCTCATGATGTGGTTATTTTTATCGTCTCGTCTCTTTAGCTGTTACGAAGGCATATAAAACGCTTGAAAACAATGAAAGTTATCGAAAATGCCTCGAAGTTGTTCAGGAAGCGAAGGATCGTGTCATCCAGATGGTAGCGACATATTAATTGTAATTCACTCTCAATAGGTCTCGGAAAAACGCATCAAGGCTAAAGGGCAGACCATAGATGAGGACGATCCAGCCAAGGTAACTTTGAATTAGCGTGTCTTCAATGCCTTCGTGTAGTACAGACATGCTGTATATGTGCAAACGTGCAAACTCTTTGCAGATCTAGAACGTCTTCGCGTGGATGAAGAGACAAAACAGCAGAACGAAAGGTACGTGAGCGCCGTTATTCGGCTTATCTACTGAGTTCCTTCGTGCCCACGTTTTTGTCACATTCTTACTTGCCACAGCATGGGGTCGTTCCAGTTTGTTCCCAAGATTTTTTTCTGTCTTTGGAAGCAGTTTTATCGCGAGTCTTGGGCTATTTACTGTGTTTATTCTCAAACGCAATACTTATTCCTGTCTACCGTTGTGTTGACCATTGTTCTTGGCTTTCTCGAGGCACACAGACACTGCTTTTGGCAATATGTGGGCATCTTTTTGCAGAGCGTCGTCCCATTCTTTTTAAATGAAGAAATTTCTATTTTTAGGAAGAGAAAGGCAGAAGAGGAGGAAATGCATCGCTTTCGTGTGCAGTACGATAGGGAGTGGCGCGACAACTACGAAGTACGTTCCCTCTTGTCGTGTTTACCTAGCAATAATTCCCTTGCATTAAAACTTAAAAGTTCCTATTTCTCGTTCACTAACACCGTCCACTTCCTTACTACTACGTTAACAAACCTCACAGGCGATGCATTGCAAGGGTGGCGCAAGCGCACCACCCGTACTTGAAACCCCCTCAGCACCTACGTATGTGTAAGCCACCTGCCATCTATTATAGGAGAGTCGGAAAGATCGGGTGAGAAGTTGGCGCAACTTCACTGCTAAGAAGGCCAAGAAAGGCGAGAGTCTGGGTGGCTTCAAGCCTCCCAAGACGCGTATGGAACAGCGCCCCAACTGATTCGACAGTCCAACCCCGTTAACAGGCCTTGTTACAAATGGTTATGTACATATGAAGTAACCTGTTCTCTTTTCGATCTTTCCTCACTACGCTAAATGAGCGGACTTTGCCATTTCTGTATATCCCACCGGATGTAGCTTTCCTGGCGCCCCAATGCTATACCGTTCTACACAAGCGACTCTTGACAGCTGATTAAGGCTGCCCACAAGGGACCTAGCTGGAACCGCCTTTTATGCAATGCATGGAAAAGAATAGCACTGAGGTATCGCAACTGGTTATCGGTAGCAAATTCTGTTACAGCCGTCGGTCTGGTAAGTGCCAAACGGCAATCTGTCGAGTGTTTATGGTGGTGCGCGGGAGGGGGCAATTGACGTAGTACCTTCGTCAAGACTGTCGCGGGTGGTTTGGGACGTGTTCGCTGTCTGCGCTAGATGGATGTTGTACGGTCACGGGAAGAGATTGGCTAGGGAGGCTTGTACAACTGCCACACGATTCTAGTGAGAGGGGTGACCTCTTCTCAGTGTAGGCGAGGTGCTGTTGGTGGTTGAGGTGGCGGTGGTGGTGTTGACGGTCGCTGTGACGGTGGGGAGGGCGACGTCACTCGTAAATGCAGCTCATTTGAGAGGTCCGGATCCCAGGCGAGAACATGACCCGTAAGAGGGTCGAATTTGCCGGCTATGAAGTAGGTTGGCAATTCTTCATCGGAGCTCGAGTCGCCTTCGCTATCATGCGGAGTAGAGGCGAGTTCATCCTCGCATGGAGGCGCCTGCTTATTAGTTTCCTTAGCTAACTCAGCGACTTTCTTTTGCCTGGACAGCCGATACTCAGCGTAGTTGCGAGCTATTTGAACACGGTTAATGATACAGGTAGCCTCATTGTCATCCATGTGGTCGGTTACAAACACGGCGCCCTCATAGTTGGCAACGCGTTTACCATCTTCTCCTGCCTCTTCTGGACAGTAGAACCTAAATTTAAACCAAGCAGTTCCAAGAAGTGAACAAAAGAGCCTACGCTCTTCGATGGAATTAAGTGGACGGATGGACCAACCTACCAGGAAGCGCAGACAAGCGGTGAGAGCTCGTTATGTCGTGGTGCGCAGATGGATTTGATCTCACCCAAGTAGGCCTGATCGCTTCCACCTGAGTTGAATTTCACCACGTCACCCAGTCGTACCACCAGTCCGTCCCTGTTGCGCTTCAGCGAACGGTAGCAGGGCATCCCATTGTACCGCTTTCGTAACTGTAGTGAGCTTAAACCTCAGTTATGTTTGAGTTAAAGCAAAGCAAAAAAATGAAGTGATAGGTCACTCACACGTCCATGAGGCTTCCAAATAACTCGCAAAGGGGTCTTCACTTTCTCCTCGTCAGTTGGCCAGTCGTTCAGCCAATCATCTGAGTTGAAAAAAATCCCTCCTCATCAGTGCTATAGACCAATATTGTCACGAGGCTAGGCGCAGTTTACAATCAAATCAAGTGCATATGCAAGTGTTTCAGCACAACCTATCATATAACAGAAAACCTACCATTTCTCCCTCCCTACATCAAAATAGCCATCCAATTTCCTAATAAGATGAGCCCTTCATGTTGGATACCAATGATACAAGGTGACAGGCGATGGAGACCTCAACGCACATAGTCAATTCGCTAGCAAGGAAGTTCGTTTGGGTTACTGAACTGTTATCCTCTTCTAGGTTTTGGTGATATGGCCTCCGTATTACTTTGCCCTCGTGATTATGAAGACTCAGACTAATGTTTTCGATGACACCTTTGTAGATAAACCAAACCTTGCATTAGAGACAACAGTAGAGAATCCACTCCGGAAAGGCATCACTTCCAATAGTGCAGACTATAAAGTACGCGGCATTGCTTATATAATGACGAAACACAGAGGTCAGTTAGTCGAATTGACTTCACTTGCAGAAAACCATCACAATCTCCAGTTCCACAAATAATAGGTAATGATGCAGTGCGACCAGGTTTGATTAAACCGATTCGATGACTGGATGTCATTAACTTTGTTTCAAAATCAATTTCCCTACAGTATCGATGGATCTTGACACCGAAATCCGAGAAATAGTGGACTACTACCAGTAAAATCGAGTGGATTCACCGTATCATCCTCAGCGCCATCATGCGAGTTGTAATTGGACAAAATAATTACGGGGACTGAGACATAAGTTGAAGTTCAGAGAGCATTGAAAAACTGTTAAAAGGAGGAAGGGAGCATGCAATCGAAATAAGTTTGTATGGGGAGATTTTGACTTACAAAATTCTTCTACAGTCATTCTAAACTTCTCGTTAGCTGGTAGTAAGGCGACGACCCCTGCAATAACTCAGGCACTGAAATCACCTATCCAAGACCCGCATAGCAAAACTCCTACTCACCAAGTCTCAGTAGCAGTGATAAAATCAACTTACCACAAGCAATTGAAGAGGGGTCTTTGGGCGAAGAGGTAGCTCCATTGATGGGACAACTTCGTCGTGTGACGGAGGTCATTTTCTTGCCTTTCGGTGAGACAGGCGATGGTTGTGGAGACGTCTGACCACGACGAGCCTCTATGGTGTTTGTGTTTGCGGTGCAGGAAACAGAGGCACCGGCAGCTCGACCCAACTCCGTGAGGTTGGCAAAGTGATCAGGAAGCATGCGGATGTGATGCAAAGGCACCTCTCGGTGATCTCCATCATCGAAGTCAATGCAGAGGCAGTTATCCGCTGGCAATGGCTTCTCTGGACCTACTGGAGGACACGGAAGTGTGGAATCGCTACTACTACTACTGCAACTACTAAGTGAGAGCATTGAATCCCAACTCGTGGTGCATTGGTAATAAATATCCTTCTAACCGGTGCACAAGTTCATCAAGAATTTTTAGCATAAGGACAGATAAAAGTCCTGCTGTGAAAAAGAGGAGGCTTTGTGTGAGTTTGGTAGGACCTTGAACACTTGAAAGCCTTGCTATTAAATTCGCTGATGCAAACAAAGTAAGGATCGTGTCCCAGTGGATGTGGAGCATTCAAAAGATTGCCGTACAAACTGTAATGAAGGGCTTGAAAGGAATTTGAAGAGTGGAGGCCTCGCCCCCTGAATCGTTCAATAATTATGCCTCACAACCCAGGTATCTAAATCCGCTCAAAAAGCATTCAAAAATGCTCTTGTGAATTGATGGACTTTCACCCTCCAAAAAGCTTGGCTGTTATCTTGGGTGGACGATGTCGTTGGCTGAGACCGTCGATAGTGTGTGTGCACACAACGGCCATCAACAGAACTGCAATCTGGTTTCGAATCAGGAGCTACTAAAATCGTCAAATGAACCATCTTTTGATGATGCAAATAAATGACATCTATCGGGAAGTCCAACAACAATTCTTTCATTAACAAAATTGCTCAGGTCTTTCAAAGGGAAAACTGTTTTTAAAAAAATCTACAATGTCGCAGCTACATCCAGACCATAGTGAGCCCGACATTTAGGGTTAAAGTATATTCAAAAGTATCGCCTTCTAGAAGGGAGAAGAGAAGGAAGAAAACACTACCATTGGGTCTACAACTAAAATGAACACAACAGTAGTGATTTGACAGTGTAGTCAGTTATGGATCAGCTCACAAAAAAACCCCGTCTGATTGGATTTGCAAAGGTCCACCCTCAAACGCTGAAATGCAATTTCAAATAAAACTCAATGGGACGAGCCCCAAATGCAAACTGTTGCCCTCTGCAACATGCCAAGTGCTCCTTTAACTCTCGGTTTGGGCTTCACAGGCTTCACACCGTGATCACAAATTGTAACCTCGTACGGCTCCATGAGAGTCTGGACTCACTGAGTTCTTACAATGAAAAGTGATACCTGAATAGGTCTGCTTTATCCGGCACAGTAGGATTTATAATGGTGACGCAATATTAGCAACAATTGGAGTAAACAAGGACACACCGAGACGAGTATTTCCTTTAAGCTCGGTTCTCATGGGAGCCCGATGCTGCCCTAGAATGACATTCAATAACTATGTATTTGGAAAACGTGCCAGATTGCCTGCCTTCGGCACGACGAGCAAAAACAGAAGTACATGGAAAAAAGATCACGAGACCAAAAGGGAACAGTTTAAGCAACTCTACTAGTTATGACCGCAGCTCATTTAAAAGCCGCTACTGCATACGAGATGATCCAGCTCTCTAGCTAGCCAGTAAAACTCACTACAATCACTTCTATTTGGGTGAAGTCGCGGTTAAGCTGGGGTTAAAGTAAATCAAATCAGAGTATGATGCCAGACATTGATTCGCCTCAAGTGGTCTCCTCCACACCACATGCTACACACACAAGCTATACGCATCAAAATGGATTGTCACTTTACACGCTGGAAAATGAGAAGCCCGTGCTAAACTTACCGTCACCGAATATGGCATAATCAATGTCATGATGGTGGTGCTCAAATTACTCTGAAATGTAATTTTCGCCCACGTTACAGAGCCGAAGGATTAGTAAAACTGCCTTACACTGTTGCCAAAAGCCCTAATCGCTGATTCACTGTCGCAGATAGGCGAATGACACCGCTTACCATTGCTAAGTCAATTCTTTCAGCCTCTCTTACCATCTAACCTACTAGTCCCAAATCCTTTGTGGTTGTTACCAACAGTAAAATCATGTCCTAGAAGTGCATGCGCCGCAGCAGCATCCAAGACGATTTGAGGGTTTCAATGAAACAGTGATGGCCATCTACTAAACCACAATAAAATAAACTGTTAATAGTACGTTGCTAAAGGGAGGAGTCGGTATGAAGAAGAAAACCTACATACACATCAATCCAACCGAGACAATGAGTAACCTTTAAAATAATCCCAGTAACCGTCTCTTATCCAACAGGAAAATAAACAAAAGTGAGCAACCTGTGACAGTATCCCATCAAGAGCAAAAAAGTGCAAAGAAGTCCACGAAAAATCAGCTGTCAAGCATAATACACGCACACTCAGAGATAACTCCAGGATAAAGATTGGTGGCGAGAGTGTCACTCCAAGCGGCACAGACGCGAGTGCCAGGAGGTAGTTGACTGATTGACACGGGCACCACTTCGAGGACAGCCTGTTGGAGGACTTGCCACGCGTGGAGTCGAACCTCACCGAGGCGCCGACGCTTGACGCTGGTGGTGAAAAGACTCGCACTGCCGCTGCTACCAACGCCGCTGTTGCTGGCGCTAGGGGCTAGACGCACTGGCGGTGGAGACTCAACCTTCTCCACCTGATCCAGACGCACGAGGCACTGACGATCGTGGGTGTTGTCTCTCTCATTAGAATAAGATGTTGATGCGTCTTCTGGAGGAGGCAATAGACGGATCGTGCAGCATGAACAAGCGCAAATCTGAGTGTACTTCTTACTCCAAACACAATCTAACAATCCTACCGTGACTATGGCATAATATCATGCTAATAAACTTATCTGCCTTTCCGCTTTGCAACTAAGCGAATTTCGCGCCTCTGTGGTG